AGTGACGTAGGAAAAGTCACTTTCTCTGATTACGTCCGTCACGGGGTCATTTTGACCCGTATCTCCGTAACGCATACGAGTTAAAAAATAAAAATTGTAGGCTTGATAGTACTAACCAGTAGATGTAATGCAAACTTTAAAAAAAGTAAATTGAAAGCTTCATTATGAAAATATAGATTCACAAAGTGTCTGAAATGTACGTCCGAACTTATGGAATTGCCCTATAGATATTTTTTAGATACCTTTTTGTAGTATTCTTGTAAATTATACTTGATTTCTATGTGTGTGCATGTTTCATTGTACACTCACAAGACACACATTGAAACAAACATAGGATCAATAATATAGTAATTAGTTGTCAAATGTTGAAGAAGGTCAGATAGGATTGATAGATTAGTATTAGTGACTGTTTCCATGGTAACATTTGACGTAAGGTTGTTTATCTATTATTATGACATTTTGCTATTGACTTCAATATTTATATCATGTCCATTGATTAGTTATTAATTACTTTTAAATCTCTTATAAGGAATTTAATTTGTTGGGTTTTCAGGTTTGGCAAAAATCGTAAGCCAGGTATAGATGATAAAGGAGATGATGAAGATGACGAAGATGAGAAGATTAAGTCAGATGATGAGGACAGGAGGAAAGCAAGGTATGAAGCTGAAGATGAACAAGAAAGGTAAGTAAAACTTTAATCACACAAATACCATATCCACCATCCTAATATCCCCCCCCCCACATACCACATCCATCATCCTCATACCCCCACATACCACATCCATCATCTAATACCCCACACACGCACACACACACGACCATCATCCTAATACCCCTCCCACATACCACATCGATCATCCTAATACCCCACATACCACATCTATTATCCTAATACCCCCACACACACACACCACATCCCTCATCCTAATATCCCACACACACACAACATCCCCCATCCTAATACTCCCCACCCACACACACACACACACCACATCCTTCATCCTAATACCACCACATACCATATCCATCATCATAATATCCCCACATACCACATCCATCATCCTAAAACTCCCTCCCACATACCGCATCCATCATCTAATATATCACATCTATCATCCTAAAACCCCACATCCATCATCTTAATACCACTATCCCACATACCACATCCATCATCCTAATACCACCACATACCACATCCATCATCCTAATACCACCACATCCATCATCCTAATACCACCACATTCATCATCCTAATACCCCCACATACCACATCCATCATCCTAATACCACCACATACCACATCCATCATCCTAATACCACCACATCCATCATCCTAATACCACCACATCCATCATCCTAATACCCCCACATACCATATCCATCATCCTAATACCCCCACATACCACATCCATCATCCTAATACCACCACATCCATCATCCTAATACCACCACATCCATCATCCTAATACCCCCACATACCACATCCATCATCCTAATACCCCCACATATCACATCCATCATCCTAATACCCCTACATACCACATCCATCATCCTAATACCCCCACATACCACATCCATCATCCTAATACCCCACACATGCACCACATCCCTCATTCTAATACCACCACATACCACATCCATCATCTTAATACCCCACATACCACATCCATCATCCTAATACCACCACATACCACATCCATCAATCTAATACCCCCACACATACACACACACAAACACACACCACGTCCGTCTTCCTAATACCCCACGCACGTGCACACACACCACATCCATCATTCTGATAGTCCCGGCACACATACCATATCCATCATCTAATATTCCCCTCCCCCAGACACACATACCACATCCATCATCCTACACGGCGCATAGAGACCACATCCATCATCTTACTATCCCATGCACAAATACCACATCTGTGATTTTTGTAACGTCTACAAATATTAATCTAAAGATCTTGATAAATTCACATTAAGCCCTTTCCACTATCAAATTTTATGTGGCAAATGTCATATGCCTGTATTTAGGTATATAATATGACATCATTATGCTTATATAATGGGCACATAACACAAATTTGCCAGATAAGACAGAGCCTTATATTTTCACAGCATCATACCAGCACATTACAAAGTAAAAAACCTTTATCTAGCAGTTGTATGTCAATCTATAATAGAATGTAATCATCGTAGCTGATGTAGCAATCCATTCAATTGAGTCAAATTTGGCTGGAAATGTAATTTTAAAATAGTATTATAATTTACCCACATTCAATTCTCCCACAAGGGTGATTTGTATATGAACAGTATGAATAATAATAAAAGCACTATCAATTTTACATTAAATTTTGGTGATAATGAATGTTAATTAATTATTTATTCCTGATTCAATTTATTTTTTATGCCTGTAGTTTTCTGTTATATATTTGATGCAGTGCCACAGTCAGTTAATAATTGCTTTGACTTTTGCTTAAGACATATGTAATACTATACATTACATATGTGAATATGATATTCATATTTATAGAATTACTGCCCCTCTCCATTCACGATATTTTCCCCTGGCTATTTTCCCTTGTGACATTTTATATATTTCCCCTAGACTCCCCCCCCCCACCAAATGGCTTAAATAAAACAAAAAGCACATCAAGATTTACATCATTTCTTTTACTTAATTTTTTGTAGCTAAAATATTTTCATCACTTCATTTTATGCCTTTCTCTTTAGAATTCAAGAACAACACAAAAAATTACGAGATCAAGAAGCAGAAAGGAAGAAAGAGGAGGGACGTGAAGCGATGAGTAAGGCAGAACGAATGCTTCAACTACGAGAACAGCATCAACAAAAACACAGAGAACGCAATGGACGATATAAAGATGACGAAGAGGATGATGATGATGATGAGTACCTGGAGGAGTATCGAGGAGAATCCATTTATTCTAAACCAAAAGTAAGAACTCAATATCGGTATTTATTTTAGATTTTTTTTTTTTCAAAGAATGTAATTCATCTTCCTTTTCTGTTAGCAGAGATAACCTTGTATTTTATTTTGAAGTATCTATCCTTTAATATTTTAACACAACTCCAATGAATATTATCTTCAAACCTTTAATTTTAACTTAGAATATTGTATTTTAGTATTCATTAGATTTCAAAATCAATAATTAAAATTACTTGCATAACTTCAAAATAATACAGTATATATATAATAGTATATGTATATATCCATATGTTCATTAATACATACATATATTTATATATTTTATCTATAACATATAAATATACTGTATCTTATCTATAATGTATGTATAGTACAAAAAAATTTAAATAAACTGTTAAAGTAATCAATTAATTTTGTTCTCTTCAACAGCAGCACTACCGTGAAAATTCTGTTGACGATAGAGGAATTTACCAGGAATATAGGCATAGAAATCACAGGGATATCGAGGACAGTATATACGATACGAGGAGAGAACATATGAAAAATGAACGACCGCACCGTGGTAAATCATATGATCCTTACGATAGATATGATGAAACTCGGTACCATGAGAATAAAAGGCGGTCACGACCTGACAATGACGGGAGGGAAATGCGAGAACCACAATATGAGGAAAGATACAGAAGCAGCTACCGTGATGATCAATACAGACGTTATAACGATGAGCGAGAAGATCGGTACCCACCTGATGGCCACACGGATGAACGACACAAAGAGTATAACTATCATGAAAAGGAAAAAAGAAATGGCTCTGCAAGAGACGAGAGGAGATATGAGAGTTGGCAGCGCAGAGAAAAACCATATGAACAGAGGTACAGAGATGATGCTAAAATATATGATTCAAGACGGTCACAAAATGATGAAAAAACTTATGATGTCCCACGATATCCAGACAGTCAAAGGGACAGAAACAGAGGACGATTCCACGAAGATGATGTATATGATAGAATTGGAGAAAGGAAAAAGTCAAAAGAATATTCAGATAATGTTAGACATTCCAGAGACAATTATGATGAAATTAAGAAAAAGGATGAACGAAAAAAAGAGGTGGAAGAAAAAGGAGGCGAAGATAAAAGTGAAAAGGTCAAAAAGAGTTTTAAAGACATTGATGATAAAAAGCTTGAACGTGTCGATAGCAGTAAAGAAAAAAATGGTAAGAAAATAGAGAGAAAAGAGAGTAAGGAAAAACTGAAGAGGAATAAAAGTTTAGAACGCAAGGAAAGTAAAGAAAAAGAAAAAGAAGAAAAGAAAATAAAAAAATTACAGCGATCTGAAAGCAAAGAAAAAATGAAAAAGGAAAAGAATGAAAAATCAAACGATACAGAAAAAGTGAAGCAAGGGAGAGATAAATCAAAAGAACGTTTAAATGAGAAATCCAAAGATCATAAAGATGTGAAAAAAAATGGTTCAGTTCCTGAAAAATCAGAGAAAATATACGAGAGCTACAAAAGAAAAGATGAAAAGGACAATGAAATATATGAAACCAGGCGTAGTCACAGGGACGAGAGAAACGGAGATAAAAGTCGGCATCGAAGTGAGAGAAGTAGGTACAAAGAAGATGATTATGGATTCCATCAAGATGAAAGACGTCCACACAGTAAAGAACGGTCGCACCATTCACGAATAAGAAGAGCTAGTAGTCCACCCGATTATGGCAGTCTAGACAGGTAAGACTATCATGTAAATTATACCAGCAAGTAAATTAGGCTGTTTAAACATTCCTGATCAATATTTAATAACATTGCAAATAATGGAGCAATGAGAGTCTAACCATTTAAGTACCAAGATTATTAATGTTATATTACAGTAATTTATACAACAATGCTACCCACTATTGCTCATTAATTTCACAAGGATGAGTCGCCATTGTTCAAATATCATCAAAATATTGATTGGAAGTTTTTTTTTGCCAAGCATCAGTGATCAAACTGCAAAAAGGCGATTTTGTTACAGAGAAAGAAATTGATGAATTAGTCATTTTTTATGTGACAAATTGTATTTTGTCAACTATACAAATTTTTTATTATTACTGAGCTTTGTGGAAACAAACTATTTTTCTAAGTTATCTTTAGTTTAACATTATGCTTTGTTACAAAATATTTTTTTTTAAAATTTATTTGATTTGTTTATATGAGATGCAGAAATAATTTGAATACAGTCATGTTAAGATTCCAAAAATTTTAATATTTATTTCTGTATTTTATTTTACAGAAGGAAGAATGGTAGTCCTAAGAAATCGCAGTTTCATTCTACTACACACCTTGAAAATGGACCAGTACATTCCCGACATCGATCCTACGATCAAAGCTACAGACGAGTGGAGCGTAAAGAAGCAATTTACAGCAGGGACAATCACTCAAACTACAGTCGTCCATCTGCCACTGACATTGATTATCGCGGTGAATATCAGCGTTATCGTCCACACTCTCCCACTTCAAATCATTGTGTGGATTATGATCAACGATGGGAGAACCGCAAACCGGTACCGAATTACAGAGATCATTACGGTTACAACAATGAATATCGCGAGTACCGTTCGCAACCATCAAGTGCCCGCCAATCACCTTACCCTCAATACGAGGATTACGATCGTGAAACATACGAAGCGGCGCGTGTGTAGGTCAGATTATCCACACAAGGATGTTATTGCCTTGGGAAAGAGACTTTAAATAACAAAACCTTGATCTTGTGTACTGTGCTGTAAGATTCTACAAGTTTTGAGTTTTTGAATTTGTCGCAACTGAGGACCCTACTTTACGTTATCTGCGATTATATTAGTGTAAAAGTTTTCTTTTCATAATTGCAGGAGTTATTTAATTTCTGCATTAAATCTCAAAATGTATTCTGGTAAATGATTTATCTCATGTATCGTTTGGTGCTTTTAAGCGTAACAACAAATTGGATTTTATTATCAATTGTTTATAGATGAATTTGAAACAAAAACCATTTATATTAAAAGAAATGTTGTATAAAAAAATATTTCTTTCTTTACCAACCATACTGTGGTTATGTGAATTATTAGATGCATGGTCATTATATATTTTTGACAGTAAACAGTATTGTATATTCTATATTTTGTATAAAAACCTATAGACTAGGTCCAAGAATCAACTGACAACTCCTCTATTGTTTTACTTTGTTATATATTAATGTATATAAGTAGAAATCATTATTTGACAGTAGTAGATAGAAGAGGCTGTGGTGACGCATTTTTAAGAGCACTGTGTGTTGTATATACATATCTGAAGACATCCTAACAGGGTTTAGACTAGTAATGATAACCAATGATATCTGGTACTAACAGGCAACAACTATTTATAACAAGTACTTTTTTTGTTTTTTATCCTCTTCCATTTTGCATTTTTGTAATCGCTAGTCTTGACTGTATCTCGTTTCTTATTGTGATCATCGTTGTTGTCATTATTGTCGTTATTGTTATCATGCTTATAATCTTGACATATATCCATTTTCTATATTAGATTTGTATATTTTTATTGTAACCTCATATTCACCAGCTTTTGTTTTAAACTCTTCATTGTCAGTCTATCTTGATGTTATATGTGGTTTATGTTTCTTTTTATTATAAAACATTTTCTTCTAATTGCAAAATAATGTCATAATGCTTTAGATAAACAAGTTTATTAGTTAATAATCTAAATTAGTTGGCTTCAGACTATAAGTCGGTGCACTGGCTACTTATGTTCCAATATTTATGCCTATATGCCATTATAAATATTTTTGTATTAATTTTTTTTTTTTTTTTTTTTTTTTTCATAATTTGAATTGCTTGTACCTATCTCTTGGTGATTATATGTAAAACAATCTAAAACTCAATATCAAAAATAATAATAGTAACAGTTATCATTTACATGATTTTTTTTAAATTGATACAGTGGCGTAACAAAGAGGCCCAGGGCCATTGTCTGACCACAGCTTCTTCAGGGCTTACTACTCTTGGACTGGGCACTCATAGAACCCCAGTCATGTAAACCCACGCTATGAGGTTTTAGGGCGTATTTCATTTTTTTTTTTTTTTTTTTGTGCTTGTTCTGCTCATTCACGGCCCAATACGGCCGATTGAGGACCCATGGGCCTGACAAAAAAAAAATGCTAATTAGTATGCTGAAGTCTTTACTGGGCCCCTGGCTTAGCCAGTGCGAGCTCGAATGCGTTACGCCGCTGAATTAATATTTGTATTGTTATTCGTTTACATATTTATTTTGTTAAATGCTGTACATTATTTCCTTATCTCCAACTTTAGTCACCAATACCTTCCACCAGTCTTCTGTTAGTTGATATATTTTTTGTGACGTACATTATGCCGATGAATTTGTGAGATTTTAGCGTGATATAAGTTTTATTTTTTATTTCTTTTAGTAAAAGATTTTGTAGATTATATTCTAATTTTAACACAATTATGGTATTAGTATTTTGTTGTTGCGCTATTCTTTAAAATATGTATATTTTCAATATACCATGCTATGCATACTGATTGTAAAGATGTGTTTCTTTCATTATTTACTTATTTTAATATGATAATAATTAATTGATAAACTAACCAAAAATTATATCATTTTGAGTTATAGTCTACTAATCATTCAACAAACTTTTGATCATTTTGTATTTTAACAGCAACTCCCTATGCCACAGATGGGCAAAGCACAGCTCACAAAAATAAATTAACCCATGTGTTTGTTTTAAGAGTCTGATCCGACTACAATCTTGGGCTAAAAAAAATCCTGTTCTTCTTACGGCCCGATCCTGATAATCTGTAAAAAATTATATTAATAACAAAATAATAATAATATTGATAATTATAAATTGCATGGAGGTTCTTACAGGGCAAGTTTCAAAGTTTCTCCGTACAGCGCCTAAGCGTGAGTGAAGCCCTTGGTGTTAAATCAAAAATTCAATTTGGCCCTCAAACCCATTTTTAAGCCCAAAATTGCCCTATTCCTTTGCCATCTTTTTTTCCAACTGCATGTCTAATTATGATGTTATTGATAATTTATATTAATTCTGCATGCACACAGATGTGACATTTTACCTAAGTATACTACCATTAATATTTTTCCATTTTTTGAAAATTATCTGTAATTTTTTTATGTAATAAATGTTCATAATTCTTAGTTAATTTTACTCTTTTATTGTCTTTTTTTACAATTTACTAAACTGTGGTGTGTTCATGTTTCCAGAAGAGAGTTGATTGTTTTTAATAAAATTTATAATAAAATGTTTGAGGAATAACTTTCCGATGAATTAAAATAACAAAGCCATAGATTAACGGGAAATACTGCTTTCAAAATAAAATTGTATAGATGAGTGTGTGAAGAACTTACAGAATGAAAGTCTTCATTATTTGAACTATATAGCTATTTGTTCATTATGTTATATAGCAGTCTGTTATATAATGTTATATAACAAGTATGTTTTATGTTATATAGCATAGTATATTTTATGTTATACAACAAATAGTTATGTTATATAGCAAGTATTTTATATTATGCTGTAGAGTATGTTATATAACAAGTGTGTTATATTATGTTATATACAGCAAGTATTTTATATTATGCTATATACTGTATATTATATAACAACTATGTTATATTATGTGATATAATAAGTATATTTTATGTTATATAACAATTATATTATGTTATATTGCAAGTAAGTTAATGAGAAAACGTATGTAATGATATAATCTGTTAACAGCTCATGTGAATCATAGATGATGTTCTGTTTTATTAGGAACAAAGTCATCTGTGGCTGGTGGTTTTTGTTTCATCCTGACACGATGTACAGTACATAAATGTTTTACATGAAGCAGTTGGGATGATACAATACTGTAATTGTACATTTGATATCTGTTGCCATTTTGTATTGTAAATAAAAACTTTGTTGAATTTAAAGGGCAAGTATAAGCAAGTTGTTGTTGACAACACAGTTATTAGAGGACCAAGATTATCATCAATCACTATACAGTTCATTAACTGCCAGCGATATATTTATGGCGTTATCCAAGTGCCAAATACTGAGTTGTACAGAGCAGATTAACACTGCATTTACAGTTGGACTTGTGAAGATTGCATACTCTATGTAGTCTTTTGTGTTCTTTCATCAAATTACCTCTGTTCCCATAGATGACTTTATCTATGGTTGTTACCAACTGTTGTCCATAACTGAAACTTATGCAAAACTGCACCACAGCATTTTTTTGTATTTCAGAATAAAATATCATACCCATAATTCGAGTGTCTGTGTATAATATTTATATGGTAATTTACAATTAGCCATTATAATACTTTTTTGATTACATTTTATTTATAATCATTACTCCGGATTGCAGTACTTCAGTTAGTAGCAAGTGACAGCTAAAGTGGACATGAGAATATGGGTGTGAGGGGTTGTGTGTAAACAGTATGTGAGGGTGTATTTCCTCAAAGGAAAATACAGTACTGTAGTTTGAAAATTGAAGCATGGTTTCCTTGAAATCACTACACTTTCGCTTCAGTGTTTTCAGTGCAATCCTTGTACTGCGTAGCAGTCACCGACGCAATCGGGAAGGCTCTCCGATTCGACTGACCAATCAGCATCAACGAAAGCTTTTGGCGATAGAGTGTAGCGATTGTGTTGAAACCATGCTTAGCAGATATCGTTATAAGAGACATCAAAGAAACAGTAGTTTAATTAATGACAGAAAAACACGAACAAAAAAAAAAGAATTCACTGACAAAAATTTAAAATAAAGTGTACTTAAATTATCAATTATCTTAATGGCATAAATAAAATTAATTGGTCTTGAACATACAATGACAATAAAATATATCTTGTATCTTACAAAGCAATAAAAACAAAAACAAAAATGTTAAGCTATTTAGCCTTTGACATAATAGTAACATAGATTGCTACACAGTATTGGTAAAAACAGCCTTTTTTTTTGTTCCAGGTTGGTAAATGGCCAACACGGATAACAGTATCGAGAACGTGATTAAATAGGTCTATATAAATCGCAGAATATGTATGTGTCGACCATATTCATACGCTATCGACACGATGGCGTGCATTTCGGAAGCATTTTGCAAGGTCCGGCCATTGTAAGAGCGGGATGGGGGAGAGACCATACCCACCTCAGCCCCACCATGTTTGGGCTGAGTTGCGAAAATTTGAGGAAATAGTACCTCTAGATGGCAGAAAATGACACTCTTTAGTAAAATTCATCATCACATCACCATTATAGTCAAAATGAAGCGCCAGCAAATTTCTCATGAACTTTTATCATTGAATTCGGCAACCATAGAATCATTAGTATGTGTGATGAGACCATAGAAAATAAGACATAAAAACATTGTTTTTAGTATATTACTGTACTTTATCACTTCAATAGGATGTGAGTCCACGCCCATCTCAACCCCAGCATGGTTGGGGCTGAGGTGCGAAAATTGTGGGAAATAGTACCTCTCATGGCCGGAAATGTCACATTTATAGTACGGTACCGGTAACATTCGTCATCATCTCATCACCATTATAGTAAAAATGAACCGCCAACAAATTTCTCGTGATCTTTTATCATCGATTTTCCGCAACCATAGAGATCTAATTACTGAAATATGCGTGGTGTACCATAGAAAATAAAACTTAAAACAGTCTTTTTTATGTATTTACTTTACTTACTTCAAAGCCGTGAGTCCACACCCACCTCAGCCCCATCATGGTTGGGGAATAATACTTCAAGAAATGGCACTGTTATATAGTAAAATTCATATATGATCAAATAGTTAATAAAAACACCCACCTCAGCCCCATCATGGTTGGGGAATAATACTTCAAGAAATGGCACTGTTATATAGTAAAATTCATATATGATCAAATAGTTAATAAAAACAAGTAATTGGATTAGTAACATTCATCATCATCACATCACATCACATGATCTTTTATCTGCAATTATCGGCAAGAATAGAAAATAAAACTTAATTGTCTTTGATGTATTTACTTTCATTTACCTACTTTGTGTGCCGAAAACCCGGTTCTTATACTTTTTCTCATACTTCTCAAATATTATAAAGGCACGCGCACTCGAGTCGTGTATTACAGATAATTCATGTGTTAGTGGGCAGAGGTACCCGAATCTTGCTATAAGATAAGATGTAAAGTACTGTATTTTAATTATGCAGTTCAATTCAACAACTTTCAGGCATTTTCTTTACTTATGAAATTTTGTTGCGGTCGAAAAGTGAGTGTTACCAAAACCCCCTTAAAAATATGTAGGGGAGTAGGGGACGTGTCCCCCGTCTCCCCATGATCTTCCCCCATGCTGGTAACCAGTAGAACCACTCGCCGGTCGCGATTTTTTTTTCCGTACGAAACATTTACATGAAACTCCACTCAGGCCGTCTCGACTGAATCGACCCGGGCCGAAAATCTCATATTGCAGAATTCAGGAGGTCAAAGGGTTCTGAGAGAACGTCGCTGTCTGATTTTTAAAAAATTCATTGATGTTACCATGCTAATACTAATGGGTCGTTTAAAATGACATATAATATTTGATTGAGCTGCACGAGTAATGGAAAGTGTTATTTGAACTTAAGTTACATACTGTGACAATTTTATTTATTTTTTTTAGTTAGATCTGGGTTTTGCATAATTACATAGGCCAACTAACTACTAAAAATATACGCTTTCAGGGGAAAGCACAAAGAGGATGGAATAGCGCGTTTCTTTATCAAATGAAACAGGGTGACAGTTATTTTCAAATTAAGAGAAGAGCTGAGAATTGGCAGCTCTAAAATACTTAATGCCAAAGGCTTGCCAAAATGGCAGAGCACCAATGAATGTATAAATGAGGCCAAAGCGTAGTTATATAGTAAATAGTATCTGCAGGTTCTTGATTACAAGGCTAGACCAAGTTAATTAATGCCGAAATGATTATTATTTATTAATTATTATTATTTATTATTATTATTATTATTCATTAATATTATTAATTATTATGTTAATAAAACATACCTTAGGAGCTTAGACAATGGAGAAATTAAAGAACATTTAAAAAACGACGTTAAGGGGAAATAGCACAAAAGATATTCCCTTGGGCTAGTTATCCGTAAGATTTCATAGGCCTACCGTAGGTAAACATAGAAAGAGCAATACAAGTAAAACTCGAGCGTCACGACATTGCAAAGTGTCTGCTTCCCGAGTCGAGTCAATCCGAGATGGCCCGAGTGAAGTTTCATGCAAATGTTTCGTACGGGGAAAGAATCGCTACCCGCTCCCCTAGGGGCGGACTTGTACAACACCATGGTTGAAAAAAATGGCTCCTCTGTCGAGAAATAGCACACACACAAAAATGGATGTCCCTCACGTTAAAAGGGTGATAAATTTTGATTGCAAGTAATTAGGGCCGGCTTGACCTTTAATACTTCTGTGTCACAGCCTATATACTGATTCCACCGGAGTCGTTTTATTTTTAAAGTCGATTCTTATCCTACAGTCATCAACCTAATAATAATTATTGACATCATCATCACCGCCATCATCATCATCATAATCATCATCATAATAATAATCAACCGTCATCAACATCATCATAACAACCAACACCAACATATCCACATCACCAATATCATCATAACCACCACTATAATCATCATTATTATTATTGTTTTTATCACTATTATTTTTATTATTATTATTATTATTACTATTATTATTATTATTATTATTATTATTATTATTATTATTATTATTATCATCCTCATCGTCATAAAGGAATGGCGCATTAAAAAAATAATGAATTGTTTTTTATAACACTCCAGGTGGCGTTCTACTATAAACATTACTCAATGGATTACGAAGAAATCTTTGCAATTAATAACAAATGTAAGTACAGTATTGAACATTTTGGATCGTTAATTTACTAGTTAAATGGGAATTCTGCCATCATTTTATGGTTACTGTTTTTCCTAAGTTTGTTAGGCAGCCCCATTGAAGACATTGACAATTTCCTCGACGGAGGCATGCACTGACATGGTGCATTCTATTCAACAACATACATTCCAAGTGACTCGCTAAAACCACCAAAGACCTGAAACTGGCTAAAGAAACGTTATTTACAGTAATTACAGCTTAGGGCTTGTTAACTTCCGTTTGCTGTTTACATTGTAGATTCGTATCTGTTTTGTTTTTTTTCATTTACATTTTATGCAATTTATTACCAAGAGTCTATAATATAATATAATAGGCCTAATATATATCTGGTGCCAGTGGCGGCGCTACGGGTGTGTAGGGGGGGGGGGCTAGGGAAGGCCGGTCGGAGACAAAAAAACATTTTAAAAATCATATGTATTTTGTACACATTAATAGAAAACAAATTCGATTGAAACCCCTAAATTGTCATTTTCAGGGGGTGGGGGCGTCTACGTCCCCTGGACCACTTTCAATGGGTTTTTAGCGACGCTCGACCACGCCCGCTTTTTCTCATAGAACATCTTCTAACCTTGAATAATCGAAATTTGTTATAGCCCAACAAAAATATTTTCTATATTATTTTAAAGGACAGCGAAAGTGATCGAGGTAGTCACAAATGACACCGTCTTTATTAATATAAAGCTACTACTGTAGTGACGAATCCAGAAATTCGAAATAGAGGGGGGATCCAGGGGGGACTTTCACATATGGATTTATGATTATGTCACCTCCATAAACGACTTTAATATGAATACAATTTTCTTTTTTTTCCTCCATTTTTGAATAATTTAGGCGGGGGCTGGTTGCACACTTTCCCCTTTTCAAATATACAGAGCATTTGAGCATTTTATATAGGCCTATATTAGTAATAATAATAACAATAGGCCTAGTGATAGTAATAATAATAATTATAATAATAATAATAATAATAACAATAAGAATGATAATAATAATAATGAAATAAAGCGCCGATATCTGTTTAACAGGAAACGCTCATGGCGCCCCTCCAAAAGAAAGTCAAAAACGGTGAAATACTTCTTTATCTTTCAGCTCATGACAGACAAGCTTATATTTAAATTGAACCTCATTGGAAATGGGCTGGAATCGGCCATTTGTTATATTGCTTGTGCATGTTGAGCATCAAATAAATTCAAACAATCATTCAAAAAATATTATATCATGAAAATGTGTGTATGAAGATATAGTTATAGTATTATGTTTATTGTTTGATTATACTGTATTTATGAATCTATATATTCATTTCTATCGAATAGTACCCTTTT